GAGGATGCTTTACAAGAAAAAACTTTTTCAGATTTTCTACTTTAAAATTCCACAATTAATTCAATGTGTTGCCGTTTCTTTGTAACAGTTTGTAAAATGACTGACTATTTCTAAGTGGGAATTGTTTTTATTTTTTAATACTGTAATAGTGTATTTTTTTAATAGGGAATCAGTCTGTGTCAGGTGACAGATCTCTTTCTGCATTCTCATTGGCAGTCAGCACATCCCCTCACTGCTCATTTGCATAAAGTTCAACTTTCAACCAATCACCAGCTTTCATTTGATTCATCTCAGCTGGCAGCGTGAACCCGTCGGCGAATATATCCAATCTATAATAAACACTATAAAGTATGAACCATCAGAAAAGACAAAAAACATAGTAAATATAAATCTGATTTTGATTCTATTGATTGTAACATAGTGATTTACTTATTCACTATTGATGCTGTTTTACTGAGTTACAGCAGAAGTTTGATGTGAACACAAGACTGAATTCAATTAGAACATTTTAAGTAGTAAATAATGCAGATTTAACAGTTAAAAATACTCTGTAAACATGACAACAGTTGTTATGCTGTTAGACCGACAGGTGTCAGTCATGTCATAGTCTCTTATTCACTCACCCTCAAGTTGATCCAAACCGTTAGGATTTTTTTTCTCTTGTGCTGAACACAAAAAGATATTTTAAAGAATGTTGGTATCCAAACAGTTGCTTGTAGCCATCGACATCCATAGTATTTTATTTATTCCCCAATAATATGGAATTCAAAGGGGACCAGCAACTGTTTGTTTACATTTGTCAAAAAATCTTCCTTTTTGTTTAACCGAAGAAAGTTTTGGAACAACTTGAGAGTGAGTAAATGATGACAGAATTATTTGGATCACTTTTGGCTGAACTATTCCTTTTAACACGGAAGAACTTCATTTTACTGTGAAGTTCAGCTGAGAAAATTATAAATACAAGCATTAAAGGGGTCAAATTATGCTATTTTAAAGATCATTATTTGGTGTATTTGGTGTAACAGAATACGTTGATGACCCCTTTAAAAGTACATTTCTGAGAAAGAGATGGTTTGTCTTTCAGCTGATTACAGCTACAGGATGGTTTTGATGGTCAAACCTCCACCCAATCATATCTTATCTCTGTGATGTCACATTATGACTAATAGTTGTGACTATTCAGATCTTGACCAGTCCAAACCACATTTCAAGTCTGGAGGAGACTTCCTGGATAAAGTGACGACAAAGAGTACCAACAGTTGGTTGATTCAGAAAAATGTTTTATTCAACATTTGGTGTTACTTCATGGTTAAACTATGTTTTGTAAAACCACTGTTCATATTTAGAGGTTGATTTTAGGGTTCTGAGTTTGTAAAATTGTATTTTCTTAAATATACTGCTGACTTGTCAGTGATCACATGACTTTTGTTTTGTGAGGTCTTTTTTTTTGAGGAAAAAGGCATATGAGACCATTTTTAGAGTTAAAATTTGATTGGCAAATTTCTAGATTCATCAAGACACATGGACATGTTGTGCATCTTGCATGTTTAACAGTTAAATTTCAGATAATTCAGATAAAATAAGAATTATGAAATTATGTAAATAAGCTAATAATAACACTGAAATGCATCAGACACTCACCACTGACACTGAATGTCTTCCTAATGGTGTTGATGCTGTTGGTAAACTCCAGTGTCTGTGGTTCTGATGTTTGTGATGGTGAGATCTCCAGTCTGACCGTTCAGCTTCAGTCTGCCTCTGAATTTCCCATCAAGAGCATCCTCATACACTGAGGAGTTATTGTTATTTCTTACTCTAGCTATGAGAATGTCTCCAAACCTCCAATCTATCACATCGTCTTTCTTTATTTCAGTAAGTTGAGGGAACAGAGTGACAGAATCTCCCTCATTCACTGACACTGTTTCACTCAACACACCTGGAAAACAAATAGGAACGGTTAAACAGACAGAAAATAAAATTTAAATCCCACGTGACTTCATGTGCTGCATCTGAAATCTGGTAAATGCATTTTTTCAGAATGCGTACTGAGGCACCAATGCATGTCTGAATGCTATGATATGATTATGTTACATTCTTCATATGAACACATTTTGGAGGCACCTTATTCCTACCAATAAATCAGCATTGGTAATTAAATATTTGTTTGGTTTTATACCAAAGTCTGTGGCTTGCTGTAGATCGTTAGACCTTTTGCTGCCTCAGAAGTCTGTCTGAAATCCGTTTTGTGGGGCACCTTTGTATGCAAAAGCTGTAGGTCATATCAAATTTCAGCATACGTAAGTAAAATGAAAAATTATCTGAACAGTTTAAAGTTCTGGGTTTCCCATTCTGTGCTCATGAATGTAAACTAACAGGGTTTTCCAAAAGAAACACTGATATGAATATATTTCATATGGGAATGAACAACATGTATGTTGACAAACTATCGGCATCTGCATTCTCAAACCCAAAAAATAAACACTAGGATAAACACCTACATTTTTTTACTAATAGTAAATAGCCTTAAAAACACGGAATTAGTTTAAAACTATAATAGATATATTTTAAGAATGTGTATATTACACTTGAATTGTTACGTAATATAGTTACAATAAATACAGAAATGTCATTATTGTCTTTTCTATTTTATACTGTTGTCACATTTAACATTACATCGCGAATAAAATACAGACAAATTACGGATTTTACAAAGAGAAACCGAAAGTGTTTAAGAAAGAAAGAAAAACATTAACTTCCATAAAAAATAAAAGCATAAAGTACAACAAACTGTTTTTCATATTGCCGTAGAATTCGACAAAAATCGAGTTTCCGAATATGGTAACGTTAGGCCTATATAGATATTATTTGTAATCTGCTCCGCCTTAACCGCCACAGAATCAAACCGATCGACAGAAAGAATCACTGACTGAAAAACAAACTAAAAATCAACGAAGAGACTATATATCGACTGAATATGTACTGATTAATTTTCGTAATGACATTTGAACTGCAGAAAGAGTTTACGGGTCTTTATCTTCTATTATTGGGAAAGCAAGAAAGCGCAAAGAAGAGTATCTGACACTGCCTCTTCTTCTTGGCGGTTGGCAGTATATAGGTGCATTACTGCCACCTACCGGACTGGAGTGTCGGTGCAAGTTTTAGTTTTTTGTAAACATTTCTTGGAAAGAGACAGATGGTTTGTTATAGACTACATATACCAGTTTTTATGTTCGGAATGAATAATAACATTATATCATACCCTAATAAAAGCCATGAACCATGCTAACCAGCTATGAGGAGAATCGCATCATTATAAACTTTTATTTGAAGCAAAACCTACATTAAATTTGGACAAAACAACAAAGTTACAAGACTGTGACCTTTGGTGAGGGAAAGAACTGCAATCCCATGAAGCATTACAAATGACACTTTTATTTATTTAATGCATTTAGCAGACGCTTTTATATAAAGCGACTTACAGAACCCACGACCTTTTGCACTGCTAACTCAATGCTCTACCACTGAGCCACAGGAACACTATGGAAATGACATAATCAAATAACAAAAAAGAAATATAAATGCAAAATATGCATATACAAATATTTAATTGTTTTGAGAGAGCAGGGGAATGACATTTGCAGTACAAAAGCATGCTTTGCTCACTGCAACTCTCTGATTGGTGGAATTTTGTGCACAGCATCATGGGTAATGCAGATTTTCACCAAGAATTTTGCTATTGAACACAATTATTGTAAAAAAAAATAAATTGAATAAATGCAAACTGATGGTTTCAACAAATGCATAAACAATCGATTAACAACCTCTGAGCTCACAACTGGTCCATTTATAAAGGTTTAGTGGTTAAAAAACATATTATTTTGTGTGTTATTTTTTTGTTTATTCTATACTGAAAAAAGAGCATGCAACTGTTATCAACCTTTTTAGCGTTTTTAAGACATATACTACTTTCTTTTTCTTCATCGTTTTCAGTAAATGAATTGTATGTAAACTACCTTAGCATTTGGTAAAGGGACTTTAAACTTTGAATGGGAACTTCATTTAGTTCTACCTGAATTTCAGCATAAAATAGTGATAGAATTTAATTAAATTACAAACAATGTATGTTTTCACGACTGGAGACGTTGCTGAGTTCAGTCTCAGGTTTGTTGATTTAAATAAAGCTGGAAGTACTTTGAAAGTTGGAAGTTGTACCTTGCTGTTGTTCAGTCCACCGCAATATGCTCTGTCTATAAATGTAGAAAGTTCAGCGCTGCTTCTGCTGCTCTTAATGTTAAGAAGAATCTTCAGCTCAAGTGTCAGTGAAAGGCTTTTGCCCTGAAGGAAAATTTGGTTGTTTCTAAAGACAAAAACAGCATGGAAGGACGCCACAGAAAAAGCCATATTCCATAGACAGACAAAGCACACGAGTACATTATCTTTTACATTTAACAAAAGACAATACATCTTCTGAAGTTGACCGTAAGAATAATGCTTAAATGAAACATAGAAATGGTGCAAGATTCCTCCTGACCACTGTGTTGCAATGACAGGAAATGTTTGGTGGAAGTTACTGCAGCCAAAGCAGAAACAACCACTTTAAAAAGCATTTTCTCAAACCCATGACTTCTCAAAGTAATGAAAACATACATTGTTTGTGTTTAATTTAAATTCTATCACTAGTCTTAGCTGAAATTTAAGTAGAAGTAAATAAGTTCCCATTCAGAGTTCCCTTCCTTTGGCCTAAACTTGCCTCTTGCAGTATTTTTTTATTTTTCATTTGGAAACCAACAATTAAGCTATAGTATTTGTTTCTAGGCTAGATTACTAAATTAATCTAGTCCAAACAAGAGTGGGAGAGGTCATCAATCAATACTGTATCATTAATATAGAGACTATGGTTTAGAAAGAAAAAAAAAAGATCAGCAGAATTGAAGTACAACCCACAACAGACACATACTAACACAGACTGCAGCAGTTTTCATCTCAGTGATTATGCACTCACTACAGGACTTTTATTTCCCTTTTTCTGAACTGCTGAAGAAAATGTTTTGCTTGTTTGTTTTTTGCTGTTTGTGCTTTTGGCATCTGGTTGGTAAGTCTGAAACATTTTTATAGTTTCAGTTGTACCAGAATCATAAATCAACATTTATGGTCTCACATTCAGTGCGTTTTTTATTGACATCTTAAATGATGAAATCAGAATTTGTAGTGTTTTAAATATCGGTTGGCTTTTTTTCTGTCTGACGGTACAAGTATCTGCAATATAAATAAAGCTTATATCCAATCAGAATTTCAGACCGGAAGGGGCATAAATCTTATTTAAAAGTGTAAAACAAAACAACTTACTTTCCTACGTTCTGAAAGCCGAATGTACAGATAATGCAGTATAACTGGCTTTACTGATTAATGTCAATTTGAGTGTTTGTAATGGGACTGTAATACTGTTCATTCAGATCATCTAGAGATTCTGTACAATAAGTGTCTTTGTTTGCTACTGAAATAACCGATCATTATTAATACCAGTCTGAAAGCAGATCATACTGTTGTGTTTTGATGAACACTGAAGAAGGCTGTTAGCCAAATTATTTGTATTATCTTATGCCCTGTTGTGATTTACTAGAAAGCAAAATAACTAGTTTGTTGTACTTTTAGAGTTTTAAAAAGTTGCCCCTTGAAAAAAATAGTGCAATAAAATGGTGAAATTGGGAGATCTGAGTGTTTCGTTCATAGATTTTTGGGAAACAACCACAAATGCTGTTCACACAGACTATAAGATCATGACTGATGATTAGGATATACGTATCTTTGCAGTGCTCCACATAAAACTTCATATACAGTATGTTGTTGTCACAATGCCCGGACCTAATGGTTAAAAGTTTTGTTTTCAGTAATTCTGCTCGCCTAAAATCATCACCAGAGATGCTGATGTCCAGTTAAATGCACTCAAAACAGACCAATCTCTGTGGTGGTTTACCATGTAATGGCTGCTGCATATTTCAGTTCAATGAGAGCCAGTGCTAAAGGTCCTTCACACACAGTCTGGCCTGAACTGACTAAAATCAGCTCAGATAGTCACTTTTCTGAAAAATAAAGCTCACTTCACCGCAGTGTTCAGAGTCTCAAGAAAGTTTGTGATCATTTCAAAACTACAAGCTTAAAGATAAACCTAGATTAAACCAATGTTAATATATTTATTTTTACATTAACAAGAACTGTAATGTGTAACTGTGAAACTCTGATCTCCAGTGTTTGCTGATCCAGATGCAGTGAAGTCAGTGACGGAGGGAGAATCAGTCACTCTACAGACTAATGTTACTGGACTACAGAATAAAACTCTGATTACATGGACATTTGGACATTCAACGACTAAAATAGCTGAGATCTATAGAGAGGATAGAATCTTCAACACATCTGATGGTCCTGATGGGAGATTCAGAGACAGACTGAAGCTGAACAATCAGACTGGATCTCTGACCATCACAAACACCAGAACCACAGACTCTGGAAATTATACAGTAAACATCAAAGCCAGAAATCAGACCACATACACATTCAATGTTACTGTCTATGGTGAGTCACAATTGCACGTGCGCTTGTTCTGTCTATACTATTTATTAGAAAAATAATCTTAAAATGGGCTTCTTACCAGTGGCTTAACTTTGATGATTTGACATACATTTCTTAAACATTTGATGGTCCTCCATCATTCCCACAGCTTACAAGAACAAACAATGTCTCTTTACCCTTTATTTAAATGACAAAAGTACAAAGAACAGATTTCCAATTATTTCTTCAGCCAAATTAATTGTATTTTGTAAATATAAACAAATTTTGATTTTGATAGCTGCAACGCACTCCAAAAAATTGGGACAGAGGCACACTTACCACTGTGTCACATCAACTGTCCTATTAAACATTTTAATAGTCTGGTAATTAAGGATGCTATCCAACCCCCCCCCCCTCTATTTTTAACATTTTCCCCCAATCGTGCTTGATACAAGACTTCAGCTGCTCATCAGTCTGTGGTCATCGTTGTCTGATTCTTCTTTTCATGACGGGTCATATATTTTCAATAGGAGACTGATCTGCAGGCCAGTCAGTCACATCCACACGTGTCTACAAAACCACATGCAGAACGAAACCTGGCATTGTCTTGATATAAATAACTATGGACAGCATGCAGCATGACGGTTTCCATGCAATGCCATCTGAGGCCTCAAAGGTTGTCCACATTCAACTGAACTGTCCTGTCTCGCCCCTTACATACTGATTTCTCTGGATTCCCTGAATCTTTTCACAATATTATGCATAGTAGATGGTGAAATTTTTGCATTGAGAAATGTGATTTTTCTGTCAATTATGTCATGAAATTTGTCACAAAGTGATGATCCAGCTTTCCTGGCAAAGACTGAGATGTCCCTTTTACACCCAATTACGATCCTCTCACCTGTTAAATCTATTATTTTATATATATTTACAAAATACATTAAAGTTGGCCAGTCAAACATTCAAAACTTTTTCTGTGTACTTTTGTCAATTAAATAAAAGTTAAAGAGAATTAACAAATCACTGATTCTTGATTTTACTGCATTTGGCAAAATCATGCCCCAAATGTAACATTGTAATTTTGGGTTTACAATAGCAAACTGGTGGTCAAGGCATCTTTTCACATACTATGAAAAGTTCAGTGTGTTTGTTGTCTGTCCTTATAGAAGACGAATTTCACAAAATACCTAATTCTATTTATTTTTAATTAAATGTTAAATTCTGTTTAGGCTACATTTGGGTTAATCATATTTTCTGTAGCATTTTTCACAGACTCCACACTCTCCTTCACATTCTCCAGGCTCTGCATCTCAGAAAATGCTGATCTCTGCAGCTGTTGCTGGATCTCTGTTGATTGCAGCTGCTGTCGGGATCTACTGGATCTGCAGGAGACACAGAAAAACAGACCAAGAAGGCAAGTGTTACCAACTGCTGACGCATCTGTAAAAGTATAAAAATAATAAAACAATAAAAAAAAAATAATGATGTAGTTTAAAAAAAAGAAAGAAAAAGAAACAATTTAATATTGAGTTTGTTGTTGTTTTTGTGTTGATTTAATGATTATTGTAGGAACAGATCAGACTCGTAATGAAGAGATCACTTACGCTGATCCGACATTCTACAAACAAAAAGCACAGAAACCGGTAAGAGAATTTATAACTGTGTCATTAATGCATATTTATTAAACTATATTATGTTTATGTCCCATTACCATCCATCCCTTCTTTCTTCTGTAATAATAAAAACAACATTAATAACAATAATTCTGATTAATACTACTACTACTACTACTAAATATTAACTATAATAATTATTTTTATCAGTAGTACTATTTGTAATTATGAATTATTATTATCATTAAGTAAATAATTTATTAAATATGAATTATTTAATTAATGATACATTTGAAAATAATGTACTTGAGAGGAACTGACTTCATACATAAAAATGCCTCAACAGTATAAAAATCCATCAGAAAAAGAAGTTAGTTCTGAGAAAAGAAACAAAGATGGTTAACATGAAGACATGAAGTCCATTGGAACTCAGCCTGATAAAAAAATTTTTTTTAAAAATGTAAAATGAGATGCTGAGCTAAATAAATGTGCAAACTTAGTGCAAAATGTGCAAATAAGTTAGTACAGTATAGTGGACAGGGCTCCATGTCTGATTTTAATCACGCAAACATGAATTCATACTCACAAATGCTGAGAAATAATCAAATTTTTCTTAGAACTTGTTTATATTCATGTAAGACTATAAATATATTAGCAGTGTATGGCTTAAAGTTTCTGACATATTAAAGCAACAAAGAAAAATGGAAAATAAAGAGCGCTATTAAAGGCGATGCTATTCATGGCAAGTATTCGCATAAACACAGTTGGTTACTTTTTAGTGAATGTAAACAGTTGGGAGAAAATCGAACAAGTGTAAATTTATTTGATCAATGCATTAGGTCTTAAAGTGACAGCAGCCTAGCATTCACTGCTCTTGACTCACCGAGTAACTCCGGTAGTGTTATTTTAGATTCTGTAGTATTTATATTTCTTCTTCATTTTGATATAACAACCTTATTTCCAGCACATATGGCCCGCCCCTAACTTCAATAGTTAATAAATAAGTTTAGATTTCAAAACAGCTACTGTATTTCATTAGAGAAATGACCAAACAGGGGAAGAAACACATGGCCAGGGTCAGTTACAGATCTCTCATCCTCATAAAAACAACTGTAAAAACACTTCTAACATGATACAGTCCAGCATGTTTTTGCTAAACAAGCACTGTTAAACTGTCTCACCGGAAACTGGGGCCTACAGAAAGCCAATGTGAGAAAAAAGTAGCACATTTCTGCTGATTTATGCATGAATGTGTGTGATAGAGAAAACGTGAAAAATAAAACAGATATGTCACTGCTATGTTGTATAAGGAGACAGGTAAAAATTTTTGCTGGATAGAATTTACAAAAACCTGAAATGAAACCCTATGTAACACGCTGATGATAATGGCCTCTGGAATGTATATGCAATAATTTAAAAAATAAATAAAATTCATAAAAATGATTATGACGTCATGTTTTAATTTACACAGTAAACCTGATGTGCAGCACTTACATTTCCACTTTATTACATTTTAAAATATTAAATTGTTAAAGTTTGGTTTCCACAGTTTTTGATAATAAGCTAGTATTTTTACATTACATTATTTTGACATTACAATATATGTGATGCAATAAGAATCTTTAAAAAAAAAAAAAAGTGGTCAAACTGCCCAGCACATCTTAGCATGCTGAAGACTACCACACTGAATGTTTAATATATTAGCAAACAATATATTTTTGTAAGTGTTTTTGAACAGATCTGAGATGTGTCTCTTTCTATCTTCTATCGTTGTGTCTTTCAGGGAGTCAAACAGGAGGATGAGGTGGTGTACGCAGGCGTCCTCACGAGAAATTGATCAAATCCCCAATCAATGATGTTAGTAAAGCACGCTAGAAAGATGGCTATGGTGACAAAGCAGATTATAAAGCTGTCTTTCTGCCCAAAAATGTTTTCATATTGTTGCGATCAAAATAAGTGAAAAGACTCACTTGATGATTCTATGCTTTGCTTTTATTAACGTAAACGCTCATGAAAACCACAGCATGGGCTCCGAATTCAAAAAGAACACAAACACAGGATACATGGCTTAAATCACACCTGACAGAACATAACACACTTTTCAGACTTGCTTCAATTTGTACAGAAAGTATGCCAGCACATATGACATTACAAAGCAATACAGCGTTAGCATTCAGCTTGAAACTCATCTTTATGTATGTTAAATTGTGGGGTAAAACCAGACCCTAGGTTATATATTGTACTGACTACTCATCAATTAATATTTGGCATCTTATATTCAGTGTGACTTTTTGTCAGAATCTATTCAAAGACATCCTTTAGATTTGTGTTGTACAAGGGGTTGCAAGGTTAGATAGTGTTAGTTAGCAAGACAAACCCAGTTTCCATTAGAAGTAATATACAACAATATACACAAACTACACAATCAAAAGTGTATTCAGATGTAATTTAATCAATTTATATTAAAAACAACATTTTTCAAGCAGTTTACCAGTTAGCTCTTGGGACAAAATGGTGTGTGAGAAAAAGCCATAGACTAAAGAAAATCTCACCATGAGAGATTCAATCTTCAGATACAGACTTGTGAGGGATGACTTGCACCTGCTCCAACTCGGGAACCGCTACCTGTCAAGGTGGTTTGAGGATTCAGTGACTTGCTTTGCGGCTACTAGTGTGTTCTGTGTGGTAATCTAAGGAGCCAAATCAACATTTTGCATCAAATATTGCTCGGGTCCATCGATGCAAGTATGTGGGAATTTTGCACCTGTTTTATATTCCACCAGGTGAAAATTGTGATGTAAAATACATAAATATGCATAAAATTTAACTCAAAAATACATTTTATTATTAAGCAAAGCATCCTGAAGTTTAATCTAACTGCACATTTAATATATATATATATATATATATATATATATATAACTTAAAACATTAATAAAAACTACCAATAACATAAAAAAAAGAAAAGAAAAATTGTATGTATATATGTATATATATATTTTTTATTTATTTATTTTTTTGCATTGTGTGACTTTTTCATAAGAAATCCATAATATGCAGTGGTGGAAATGGCCAAGATTGACTGGGGGGACCCTAGTTCGGGACATATTTTATATTTTAAGAAACCCTAGAAACTCATAGCTCAACAGTAAACCATGAGAAAACATGCTGAAGTAGGCTATGTAAATTTGCAACAGAACACATTAATATTGTTATTTTAAATTTGATTATTTATAATTATTAATTATTATTAGTCTTTTTTTGACAGTTCTGCAGCTGTTACCAGAATGGGATGATTTTTTATAATTTTTTTATTCATTTGCTTAATTATTTGTCCCATTTTTGTCTAAATAATTGAGCATTTTTTTAAACTATTTAAAATGCCAAATGACATATGATTATTTATTATGTATATATTGATTGTTGATTAATGTAAATGATAAATTAATAAATAGGGTATAACATAAAATAGGCCTATAATCTATTAATTAATCTGGCTAATAATGCCTAAAAATATAATAATTATGTCTACTAAGCTCTGATAATGTATGAAATATATTAACAGACTATCCAAATTTTAATAAAACAATAGGCCTATACCTTTAGAAGCACGGATGTGTCTGTCACTTTAAAGGTATGGTTCAACCCCCCAAAATGAAAATTCTGTCATAATTTACCCAGGTTTTTCTAAACCTGCATAAAGTTCTTTCTTCTGTTGAACACAAAAGAAGATACTTTGAAGAATGTGGGTAACTAAACAGCTGCTGGTCCTCAGTAACTTCCATAGTAGAGAATAAATACTATCAGAGTCATTGAAGACCAACCGTTTGGTTACCCACATTCTTCAAAGTATCTTCTTTTACGCTTAACAGAAGAAAGAAATTATTACAGGTTTGTAACAACTTGTGGGTGTGTAAACGATGACACAATTTTCATTTTTAGGTGAACTATCCCTTTAAGTCAGACAGTCCACCGTGAGCAAGCTTCTCTGCAAACTGCGTGTTCATCATTAGCTACTGGACAGACACATTGATAACTTTGCCATTCAGCCCTACATCTTGTGAGAGCCTTGTGTTCAAAGGGCGGACGTGAGCTCCTATGTTTTAAACCGCGCAGGTTTACCGCATGCACAATACCTATTTGTTGATTCAACTATGTGTTGGCCTTTGTAAAATACGGGACAAATCGCGTATTGATTTGATACGGGACACATCATTTTACCTTTAAATACGGGACGATTCCGTATTTTAAGGGACGGGTGGCAACCCTAAACTTAACACACTTGCCTGGAAGTTGTTGATGTTGTTGTTGTTCTTCTTCTTTTAGTTTTATAGCGGGTTACAATAATGACTTATCAGGTGCATACCGCCACCAACTGTAACGGAGTATGTAGCATCAATTATGTTCGATAAAACTACTTTACATGCTATTACTATTAAAGGGGTCATATGATGCTTTTTTAAAGATAATTATTTGGTGTATTTGGTGTAACAAAAAAAAAAAAACGAAATCCTGTAATATATCCCTATATCTTTCAGATATCCCACAACAGCTTTTTGTGCATCCTCTACCTCTTCTTGTATTGTTCCCAAATTATGCACCCTAAAGCTTCCATTTTCTTCCAGCCTAACTAATCTCCTCTCTTCCCTATATTTCCTACAATTTAATAATACATGTGCTGCACTTTCTATGATTTTACATTCCAAATATTCATCTGACATAATGTTTTATTTAGCCCTGTGTGGTCAAACCTCAGTCTGACTCCTCCCTTCTGTTCCTTCTAATCACACCATGTGCATTGACAGATTTCTGTACACTGTAATATTTTATTCCACTATTATCCATGTCACATTTGACCCAATATACCCAGTGTTGGTATATATTCCTATGCCTACCCTATGTTCTTCATCTTTGGACGCATCTGTATGAATATCTATTTGCTTCTCGTGTAGGCCTACTGACTTGCCAAGTGTCCTTTTCACTCTCTTCCCATTTTCCTTTACTTTCATTATATTTAAATCTACCTCAGTTTTTGGAAACAGCCAAATAGGGATTTTACAGCAGGAGCAAGATTGGACACCCCTGCCCTATAGGCAATTGCCTGCTCTGCCTATAGGTAGCGCCAGCCCTGCTGTTACATGTGCTTTAACCTAAGGAAAGCAGATGTAAACTTTAAAATAATTTGACCACTAGAGGGAGAAATAATTTTCTCTCAGAGTAAACGACGCCTGTAATGTGCTATTTACAGGCAAGAATGACCATTTCTTCATATTAAGGATATAAAGTACACCACTTTTTAAATGTAAATTAGCATTCAAAAACCATAAATAATTACTTTTTTGACATCGGATACCACATTATCACATTTAAAGTCATAAAAACCACTATAGGCTAATAACAATGTTTGAAAGCGGCATTTTCCCCATTGTTAATTGTACTAAGGACCTTGTTTGGAATTGCCTGACATGAATCTTATTTTGAAATGTCAGGAAAGTTTACAATATGTGCAGATAATCTACAAATAAAGCGAATGAAAAGAAATGCATTATTTATTCATAAAGTGTGTAGGCCTATACATTTTAAATAACATTTTTAAAAAATTATATATTTCAATAGACAAATAACATATTAAAAATAAAATAAACATTAAAGGTTTTATTTAATTTCCATCTTTTTGTCTCATGTAAAATATTAAAATTGCCTGATATTTGTATTTTACATGTTTTTTTCTTGATTGCGTATTAATGTATCAGTGGTTTAAGTTCTTTGACTAGAGGCTAGAGCACAATTGTGAGAGAACAGAATCTAGCAGTGCATTGGACATTAATTTGTTTTTAGAAATATATATATATATATATATATATATATATAATTCAAGCTGAAACTTCTCTAATAAAACAGAAACAATCAGAAATCAAATCAATAAACCTCACACAATAGTAAACAATAAATCATCACCAGTATCAGATTGTTTTACATTATAGTGCAATTAAGTGAAAGTATGTAGTATAGCATGAAAGTAAAGCACAGTTTTAATACTGTATAAGCAAATACAAAAGCAAAATAATTTAACAGTAAATAAATATGCAAATAATTCCAGCAATTTAAGCATCACAAGTTTTCACATTAAAACTAATTAACAGCTTCTTGAATGGAAGTGACTTAGAAGGTTCTTGAATTAAACACAAACTCAGGTGTTTCTAGAAACTTCTGGGAGAGAAGAGAGTGATACAATTTCAGTCACTCTGATCTCACCCTTGTTTTATAAAAAAAAAAAAAAAAAAAAAAACCTTAGATAAATTCTGGTTCTAATGCATGTCATTTTATTTCAGAATTTTTAGCTTATAATCGCAGAAAAAGCAAGTATGCATTATATGCAAAGAGCAATAGGTATGAAACATCAGAATTAGATTTATCTGCACACAGAAGATTTTAAAGGCTCCCATGAGGAGAAATCAGATTTTTATTTATTTTGAATATTAATAATGTTAAAATGGGCTCATAATGAAGCTGTTGGAAGTGTTATCCTTCAACAAAGACAGGTCTGTGTCCTCTGGCTTATTTCTTCAGTATGTAGAATCTGACAAAATACAAGATATTAAGAGACACAATTAAAAATAAAAAAAACATAAGACCCAAAAGACCAGTGTTTTTGGACGTACAGTAGGGACTAAATATTTTTGACCGAAGTCTTTGTTCATAAGTGAAGAATCCACTCAGAAAGAAAGATCTCTGGATACATTAGATAAACACAATCAATATATTATTATTCATGTTACAAACACTTTTTCCCTAAAAATCGCAATTTAGTGTTTTTCTTTTCTTTTCTTTTTTTGGTATCAGATTTTGAACTTTATGATCAGATCATTTCAATTAGAGATCCTTAAAAATAATAAAAATGAGCAGGTGATATAAATAGATCAAATCTCTGCAAATGAAGGCGGGTTTTTTTTGAGAACTTTACTAATGTGTGATTTCACAGCATCATGAGGACTGAAACTGATCAGATAAAACAGCAAAACATACAGGATTTCTGGCATCTTTTGTCACACGTTCATAAACAGCTGGATGCAGTGAAACGGAACTGACATCTTAAAAATGAAGCACTCATGATGGGAGAAGGACAAATAAAACTCTGCAGACGGACACAGCATGATCATCTGTTTACATTTTATGATTAACAGAAATCAGGAAGTGCTTTTCTGTCACACGTTTCCAAAGAGAACTACTGACAATGACATGATTAATCTGTCCATTCAAACTCACAATCCTTCATCCAAATTATTCACACATTCCTAAAACGAGAATAAATGTTAGTAATGATAATAAATGGATTTATTACACTACAAGATTTGAGTTTAAACACAAGAGACAGCCAATATGTCACAGAAGCTCATACCGTAGACGCAAAGTAATGTGTAACACAAATGATAACAAAAACAATAATTTAACAGAAAATGAACAAAGAAACACTAATCATTTGCTCCATATTTGCCTACTGCAGATATGGAAGCCAGTATTCATATCA